ATGAAACATCCACTGCGTCAAGCGCTTTTTAGTGAAAAGGGCGACAGACTAAAGAGGGGAAAATCGTGGCTAGGTCGGGCAGAAGATGTTATTAGGCAAATATGCAGCCTAACCGACATCATACCTGGTGCAGAGTGGATACCTGTGCCTCATGCGCTTATTTGTACATTTTCCTGTATTGTCACACTCAACAGGCGATGTAGAGAAAAGAATCCTGTTGCTGTTAATGCAGAGGTCAACGCTCTCATCAGTGAAAATTCAGAAGAAGCAGATGCACTAATCTATACAGACGGGTCCGTTATACGCAAAAAAAAAAAAAAAAAAAAAAAGCGCATGGGCATTTACAGCACGCTCAGCGGGCAGAACAGTCAAAGAAGCCAACGGCGCCTTCTCCGTGACAACCAGCAGCATGGCGATGGAGGTGATGGCAGTGACGCAAGCGTTTGCCTGGCTTGAAACACAAAAAATACACCCGCGTATGTATACTCAGTGATTCAACGAGTATGATCCGGAGGGTTCAGGCATGTTCGGTGCGAAGACAATGGCTTGAATCATTACAGAAGTCCACTGTGCGTGGAGTCACCTTTATTTTTGTTACGGGAATCGCAGGCGTCGATGGAAATGAAAGAGCTGACAGGTTGGCTGGATCCGCTATCACTACCGACGGTCAGCTGATCTGATTATTGCCCTCAGAGAAATAGGAAGGATAGAGGACTTTGGTGGCAGTAAATCCACATCAACTCGCCAGGATGGCAGACTTGGGAATTAAGATCGGCATAGCAAAAAACGAGACGCATACCAGACGCGCCAGAAGACTTGTTAATCAACATAGAACTGGTACTATTAGCCATCGGACGTTGGGGTTCACACTGAGGGGAGGATCTGAGCACCTATGGACATGTCCGGAGTGTAATGATGATAACCCAACTAACTAACTAACTAACTAACTAACTAACTAACTAACTAACTAACTAACTAACTAACTAACTAACTAACTAACTAACTAACTAACTAACTAACTAACTAACTAACTAACTAACTAACTAACTAACTAACTAACTAACTAACTAACTAACCAACCAACCAACCAACCAACCAACCAACCAACCAACCAACCAACCAACCAACCAACCAACCAACCAACCAACCAACCAACCAACTAACTAACTAACTAACTAACTGACATTAATTTTGGAAAGGAATGGTTAATTATCTCTCCCTCTACAAACATTAATATTACAGTTCATATCACACTTGATGGAAGCTGTAGACAGCAGATTCCTGTCATTGTTGACACTTTAGTCAGAACACTGATTGACGAAAACACAGAGGAAGGTGATGCTATAGTTTACACAGATGGATCAGTAATTAGGGGCAAGCGAAGTGCATGGGCCTTCACGGTAAGCTCAAGAGGGAAAACCATCCAGGAGATGAATGGCACCTTAGCTGTTACAACTAGAAGCCTTACAATGGAAACTATGGCTGTAACAAGGGTTTTAGCAGGTTTTGTTACTCAAAAGTTCACACACGTATGCTTTCCAAGCTGGATTTATCAGGCAAGAATGGATTGAAACACTAAGCACTTCACGAATATCTGCCCTAACCTTCATCTGTGTGCCAGGTCATGCGGGTGTTCAAGGGAACGAGCGTGCAGACTAACTTGCTGACACTGCAGCTGCTATGGCTGGCCCAGTACTGGACAAAAGTGATGTTATCAATGCCATGCGTTGCACTTACCGTACAGAGGAGCACGCCAAAGGACGTGACTCCATATCCCTGTCTAGACTGATGGACATGGGGGTGCAGCCTGGAGCTGCAAGAAATGAACATTTCACTAAGAGGACAAGACGTTTTATTAACCAACATAGAACAGGTGTCATCAGTCGTTTTACACTTGTGGAGCTTTTGAGAAGGAGTTCGGAGCACCTATGGATCTGCCCGGAGTGCTGTGATGATAATCCTTTCTAATCACTAAAAACAAAAAACACTGGATATACTACATATTTTTCCTCTAACTTCTGAACAGACTGATTAAGTCAACAGTAATCGTTTAACGCACATAAATTTCAGACTCGATAAAGACTCACATACATTAGGTTAGTTACTTAGTTAGTCGACATATTATCCTCATTGCTCATCGAACCACTCAGTCCATAAGTGCTCGGATCTACTCCTCAGTAAATCCCGCAGCGTATAGCGGCTAACTACACCAGTTCTGTGTTGGTTTATTATTCTTCTTTTACACGCGTAGTGTTCTTGTTTGGCGACACCCCGTTTAACATGTTGTTCTTACAGTCTGACCATGGTTGCAGATTCACAGTTCTCAGTTGGTTCACGCAAACGTCTTAACTCTCTTAGAGCATTCAGTATTTCAGCCTGGTCCATGGCTTGTCTGGCTTTCACAGTAGCCTTACCTGCAAGCCTATCAGCTTGCTCGTTTCCTTGTACCCCCCACATGTCCAGGCACGAAAATGAAACCAGTCCTTGTCAGCCGTGAATTCTGTAGAGCCACCAACCACTGTCTTCGGACCCAGCCCTTCTCTATCTTCCTGAGCATAGTCATCGAGTCACTGATGCTCCAGTGAAAGTCTGTGTCTCTAGCCATGTTACTGCTTTAGTCACTGCCATGACCTCCATAGTCAGACTACTTGTAGTTACTGCAAAAGCTCCAGAATCTTCCTTCACAACTCTTCCTCCAAACTGAGCCGTGAAAGCCCACGAGCTTCTAACGTGGCGGATTACAGAACCATCTGTGTAAATGACAGCATCACCCTCTAGAGCGTTCTCAAAAATCAAGGCTTGAACTTCTGCTTCTACAGCAGCCGGACTCTGTTGTCTGCATTTTCTGTCTAGTTGGATGCAAACAGAAAAAGATGTACAGCACTCTGAAGGAACATGCACCCACTCCTCGACGGGTTCTAGGTGAACATACCTCTAAAATAATGTTCTCGTCTTGACCCATCCACAATTTGCCTTTTTTTTTAACCTGCTGCCTCATCTTCCTGATTTGACTATGCAATGGATGTTGTGTGTGCGCCTTGTCTGTGAGGTAGGCAATACGTTAGGTGTGAGACAAAAGCTCTCTGCCAGTGTCTTTGTGCTGAACAGACTCCAGAATACGTGTTGCCAGACTGGCCTCTCCTGGAAAAGCTACGAAATAAATAAAAAAACTCATTACCATATTCAAGACCTGGCAGCGACGCTTTGGGAAACCTCAGAGTACTTGAGATGACATCCCAGTTTATGGCCCACGATGAAGTTTGAACAACGGATCAACATCATGGCATACGGGTAGTAGCCCATAAGTGTTCGTTTGACTTCATGGCATTGAAGATCATCTGTGTTAGAGTTGTGTGAAAGTACACGAGACAAAAGGTTATCGATAGACATGACTACCAACGCAACACGGCATGGGCTTTAAGAAGAAGTAGGCTTGATAAATTTGGACGCGGAGAGGAGTGGGTAAAAGTCTCCGAGTAAGTTTCAGACTTGTGATGGGTTCTAATCACTTTAGGTCGTGAGTGTCGGGACTGGCCAGCTGGTGCTGCAGAATCACAAGTTCAAAAAATGATTCATGACGATTCCCGCCCAGGGGATGTGATTATCTATACAGATGGTTCTGTGTTGAGGGGCAGACGAAGTGCATGGGGTAGGTCATAGCAAAAGCAAATGGACGACAGCTAGCGCAAAAAAGTCTGGCACATGATATTACAACGTCTAGTTTGAGAATTGAGGCGGAGTCAGTCAGTGCTGCCGTCTGCTGGTTTGAGAACTAGATGTACACACATGCCGTGATAGTAACCGACTCACAGAGAGTGCTGAGAAAGATGGAGACAGGCATGCTCTGTGCAGAGTGGCAAGCATCACTTCAGAGGTCTTGTGTAGTTAGCGTCCTTAGGATATTTTCTCCAGGTAATGCCGGCGTGTTGGGAAATTAGCAGGCAGATAGACTGTCCGGTTCCGCACCACTTGTATGAAAATCTAGATGTTTTGAGGGCCCTTTAAGAGCGAGTGAACAGTGCCGAGGCACGAATAGATTATTACGGTCTGAGGAGAAAGACGTTGCGGGGAGTTATCAGGGAATCTGGCCAGATTCTCACGGAAAGAGGGAGACAGATTCACAAAGTTACTGGTAGCATCGGAACTAGAACTCTTTGCTCACTGTTGAGGATGGGGCGTTTATGGAAGTGTCCCAAGTGCTTTGATGTCGATTCTCAATTCAATATTCGATTGCCAGCTTCACAAGAGATGCAAATTCCACACCCCCAAAAATTGGGACACTTCCTTCCCACGGCGCCAAATACCTACGCTGATTTGTTCGCCAAATACCCTAGCTGCGATGGGCGCCAAATACCCTAGTTGCCATTTGGGGGATTGTTTGTTTTAGTATCCAGAAGACATGAGTTGTTAACCCTTAGGCTGGATATTATAGATTTTGCAACCTTTCGGGCTTGATTCTATGATAAGTACCGTAAATCTGGGAGAAATGTGGCTTTTCTGCTTACCCCCGGGAGTGAACCCGGACCACAAGGAGTTCTTCACTAGGTCACCACGCAGTCCGGTTTAGCCAACTACGCTAGAGAGGCGGGCATTCCCATTTAAAGGAACAAGTCTGGCTGCGCCCCTGCCGTGCGGCCCCAAATCTTCAGGTTCAGGACGCCCTATGGTACAGACAGACTTGTAATGGCAGTGTTAACTTTTACAAGACTAAGACGATAGTTAGCCACATTTTGCAGCCACGTGTAGTTTTTAATTTAGCAAGTATTTTAGCCACAAAGAGGAAGTGTTTGCTGGCAACATGGGACATGCGTAGTCGCAGCCATTTGTTACACATCGAGGAAGAGAATTTCCTGTTGACGGCACGGGACGAAATATTCATCAATATTTCATTTACTGTGTGGGACCATTCCTAAAATTTGGATTGATTGTTTCCCTACCACCTTGTGTGTAGAGACTGTGAACGAACACTATTGTATTGTGGGGGTTATAAATTCTTTGGGATGTCTGCAAATGTCGATCAGGTAAATGTATGGCTGTAAGCGTGAAGTTCCGCAGTGCGGCCATGTTTCACCATGTTAAGTCAGCGCTGTCAACGTCAGCTAAAAGATTTAGAATTAAGATTGTCGACCGGTGTGTTTAACTGAGCCCAGCTTCTGAAAATTCGGCGGTGTTTGTTATTTTCAGTGAAGTAATATAATAACATATGTGATTTTGAGTGAAACGAAAGAAATGAATAAATAGAAGTTCATTTCTCCACGTCAGTGCTAGGTAGTCACTTGGCAAAATGGACTGGTGACGGCGTGTTCCCAGTTTGAACTAGTGCGAGGCGTTATAAATAAATTATAAATCGGTGAATTTGAATCCTGTCTACCTTATCAGTGACCGTGACGTACTGTCTCATTAGTTTGTAACAACAGCACTATTAGGATTTTGTTGTTTACCTTATCTTGCTTTTAAAAATGTTTCTGCTTCCTTTCTTATTTCTAGGAATGAATGAATGGAATGGAGAATCAGTGAAGAACTATAATCTATATTTGTCACTTTCTTTCATTTTCAATCATTTTATTTTGATTTAGATAATTTTCGTATTGTTAAACTTTGATAAGTTATGAATGATCATTTTAAGTTAGGGATGATTTTTTTCCTAAGTGTTGCTAATTTATCATGATTATCAGAATTTTAGTATTTAGAATTATAAATTTATTTAATCAATCTTTACAGACTTTATTTATGTGTTGACATTGACCACACAGTTTTATTTGTTTAGTTTACTAAAGATTGAATTGATGAAAAATGGATGTAGTTCTGTTTAGAGTCGAAAGAATCGGCTTCATGGCTCAATCTGTCTTGGCAAACAGCTTGTCACATGCTAAGAGCGTCGCATAAAGTACGAACTCAGTAGCTCTTGTGACAGTCCCCAGGGGTCTCTGTAAAAATCGCATTTAAAACAAACCCACAACCTTCAGAGCGCAAGGCAAATGGCTTGGCCACAGAGCCCTGCAAGTACTGTATAATTATTTATACACAAGAGTAAGTACAATAGGCAATGGAATTATAGTCTCCGGGTATACATGTGGTTATAAAATCTCAATATGGGAGGGGTAGCTTTTTTTTCTTAGTGCTTACTGGCTGTAAGCCCCAACAGAAAGTCTTTCTTGTTTATCCATGTCTGGACTTTTTCTTATTGCATGACTTGAATGTTGCATTCACATAACATTTTTCATATCTACCTATGTGCAGACTTTTGGTTTCTTGCCTCTGGTAAATGCAGTCTGACTTCATCATGCCCCAAGGTTGGAGAACACTGTTTTAGAATGAGGGGCACTACCATTAATCCTTTTTGTGTGTTTTCAAAAGCAAAATGAAAACAGCCAATGTTGTGTAAACAGAGGGACCACGTTACTAATCTAAGACTTCTGTGGTGAGATGGTGAGATATACAGTGTATAGAGATATCGGATGTGTTGGGGTGAAAGGTGCATGTACTGGAGCCTAGCTTAATCCATACCACCATGATCCAACCACTTTTTAAGGGTGAGAACAGTAGTCAAATCTACCAGGCAGTAAATTGATTGTATCTTTATTATGTCAGTTTATTAATTTAGTCTGTTTAGATATGTACAGTGTATTTATGGACAAATTGTTAATGATGATTTCCCTTGATTTCTTTTTCCATAACAGAGGTCAAAGGGACAGACCAATCAAGGTAGGTTACTCAGTTGAAAAAACTATTGTAATTAAAAAATAGCTACTACTTTAAATGATTGTTGGAATGTAGCTACTACTTCTTTACAATCGCCGCATATCAACTCCAGCAGAAAGTTCCGGTTGTTCATACTCCCACCCTAACTTTTATTTGAATCTCATTTGTGCTGCACCATTCATAATTTCATGCATGATTATGTTATAATTCTGCGATAAGTGCTGATCAGTTTGATAAAAAATACAGGTCTGACACTTTGCGACACTCCCTTAGAAACTTCCGTTTGCCTCTGGCACGCTTGGTGGGTCACACTTAACTCTTTGCATCCCTTATGGGCCCTAAACCATACAGGGGAGATTCTTTCAGCATCGTAGTGTTGAGGAGGGTTTATTCAGTTATAGAGAAGAGCTTGTTTTTGAGGTAAGATTATGCAGTTTGCTTGATGATACTCTTGTTAGACTGAAATAAGAAAGATGTATTTTACTAGGTTATGATGTCTGTTGACCAGTTATCTTTCTCTTTCTTACTGGTCTTCCTAGATCAGATGTAAGGGAAACACCTGTATCAGCCTGTGTGTTCTAGGGCTGTTGTTTTGGGCGGTGGGCGTGTAGTTAAAAATTGAGTTGTATTTGAGTATTTCAACCTCCATTGTTGACTCCCTGACACTTACAAGCATGCGAAGTTTACCACCATGTCTTGTCATTGATATGTGTGGTGAAAAAACATGCAACATTAACATTCTCCAGGGTCCATTTGATGTCTTTGATCATACAGAGACTGAGGAACCACCCTGGGACAGCATGTGATTATCATTCCATGATATATAGGTTCTGTTTTTTACTTGAGAAAATAAATGACTGGATTGATCTAAAATTTGCTCAGAAAAGCTCAGAGAGCAGTGATTCAGTTTCTTTTATTTAAAGGATGTCAATCAGTGAACATGAACATTCATTGAAAAATGTGGGCAGCTCACGGAAGACAACAGTGACCAACTGGACATATATATTCCTGAAAGGACCTGAGTTCACTATGCAGCAATACAGGCCACTGTTGACGCATATTTTCACTAGCACAAAAATTTGCATTGTCAATTGGGACAGTTCAGAAGGTTGTTTGAAAGAAACTGCAATATTCGAAGATGTGTTCACAGTGGCTATAACTCTGAAGTGGCAATGATTTCCTGAATATATTATGAAACTGGGTTCAATGAGCAACTACAAACCTTTTTTGTGTGTGTGTGTTTCTGTATGTGGATGGCATTTGCTGCCTTACTTGCTAAAAATGTTTATGGCAACTTTTTCTGACCAAAGCATGCTGCATAGTTTAGTTACAACAAATGCTTTGTTTCATTCTGCCACACCTGTTGATGTCTCTTTCATGTTTTCGCAATAAACTGGTTTCAAATAAACTTTTCTTATAACATGAGAATATCACTGTTAACTCCTGTGGGAATAGAGCTACTGCTGTGGAAATTACCTACTGCTGTCACTCTTGTAGGACAATACCTATTATTGCAACTGTTATAGGATTATAGCTATAGATGTGACTGTTGTGCGAATAGAGATACAGCTGTGATGGTTGTGGGAATAGAGATATGGCTGTGAAGGTTGTGGGAATAGAAATACAGATGTGAAGGTTGTGGGAATAGAAATACAGATGTGATGGTTGTGAGAATAGAGATACGGCTGTGATGATTGTGAGAATAGAGATACGGCTGTGACGGTTGTGTGAATAGAGATACGGTTGTGGGAAAAGAGATACCGCTGTGATGGTTGTGGGAATAGAGATACGGCTGTGATGGTTGTGGGAATAGAGATACGACTGTGATGGTTGTGGAAATAGGAGTACAGCTGTGATGGTTGTGGGAATAGAGATATGGTTGTGGGAATAGAAATACAGCTGTGGTGGTTGTGGGAATAGAGATATGGTTGTGGGAATAGAAATACGGCTGTGATGGTTGTGGGAATAGAGATACAGCTGTAGTTGTTGTGGGAATAGAGATACGACTGTGATGGTTGTGGGAATAGAGATATGGTTGTGGGAATAGAAATACAGCTGTGATGGTTGTGGGAATAGAGATACGGCTGTGATGGTTGTGTGAATAGAGATACGACTGTGACAGTTGTGGGAATAGAGATGCAGCTGTGGTTGTGGGAATAGATTTACGGCTGTGATGGTTGTGAGAATAGAGATACGGCTGTGGTAGTTGTGAGATTAGAGATACGGCTGTGATGGTTGTGAGAATAGAGATACGGCTGTGATGGTTGTGAGAATAGAGATACGGCTGTGATGGTTGTGGGAATAGAAATACGACTGTGATGGTTGTGGGAATAGAGATATGGCTGTGAAGGTTGTGGGAATAGAGATACGGCTGTGATGATTGTGAGAATAGAGATACGGCTGTGATGGTTGTGTGAATAGAGATACGGCTGTGGGAATAGAAATACAGCTGTGGTGGTTGTGGGAATAGAGATACAGCTGTAGTTGTTGTGGGAATAGAGATACGGCTGTGATGCTTGTGAGAATAGAGATACGGCTGTGATGGTTGTGAGAATAGAGATACGGCTGTGATGGTTGTGGGAATAGAAATACGGCTGTGATGGTTGTGGGAATAGAGATATGGCTGTGAAGGTTGTGGGAATAGAGATATGGTTGTGGGAATAGAGATATGGTTGTGGGAATAGAAATATGGCTGTGATGGTTGTGGGAATAGAGATACAGCTGTAGTTGTTGTGGGAATAGAGATACGACTGTGATGGTTGTGGGAATAGAGATATGGTTGTGGGAATAGAAATGCAGCTGTGATGGTTGTGGGAATAGAGATACTGCTGTGATGGTTGTGTGAATAGAGATACGGCTGTGATGGTTGTGGGAATAGAGATACTGCTGTGACGGTTGTGTGAATAGAGATACGGCTGTGATGGTTGTGAGAATAGAGATACAGCTGTGATGGTTGTGGAAATAGAGATACGACTGTGATGGTTGTGAGAATAGGAATACAGCTGTGATGGTTGTGAGAATAGGAATACAGCTGTGATGGTTGTGGAAATAAAGATACAGCTGTGATTGTTGTGGGAATAGAGATACGACTGTGATGGTTGTGGGAATAGAGATATGGCTGTGAAGGTTGTGGGAATAGAAATACAGATGTGATGGTTGTGAGAATAGAGATATGGCTGTGATGATTGTGACAATAGAGATACGGCTGTGACGGTTGTGTGAATAGAGATACGGTTGTGGGGAAAAAATACCGCTGTGATGGTTGTGGGAATAGAGATACGGCTGTGATGGTTGTGGGAATAGAGATACGACTGTGATGGTTGTGGAAATAGGAGTACAGCTGTGGTGGTTGTGGGAATAGAGATACATCTGTGATTGTTGTGGGAATAGAGATACGGCTGTGACAGTTGTGGGAATAGAGATACGGCTGTGATGGTTGTGAGAATAGAGATATGGTTGTGGGAATAGAGATATGGCTGTGAAGGTTGTGGGAATAGAGATACGGCTGTGATGATTGTGAGAATAGAGATAGGCTGTGACGGTTGTGGGAAAAGAAATACCGCTGTGATGGTTGTGGGAATAGAGACACGGCTGTGATTGTTGTGGTAATAGAGATAGGGCTGTGACGGTTGTGGGAATAGAGATATGGTTGTGGGAATAGAGATAAAGTTGTGGAATAGAGATACGGTTGTGATAGTTGTGGGAATAGAGATATGGTTGTGGGAATAGAAATACAGCTGTGATGGTTGTGGGAATAAAGATATGGCTGTGAAGGTTGTGGGAATAGAAATACAGATGTGATGGTTGTGAGAATAGAGATATGGCTGTGAAGGTTGTGGGAATAGAAATACAGATGTGATGGTTGTGAGAATAGAGATACAGCTGTGGGAATAGAGATACGGCTGTGACGGTTGTGAGAATATAAATACGGCTGTGATGGTTGTGAGAATAGAGACACGGCTGTGATGGTTGTGGGAATAGAGATATGGTTGTGGAATAGAGATACGGTTGTGATGGTTGTGGGAATAGAAATACGGCTGTGATGGTTGTGGGAATAGATATGGTTGTGGAATAGAGATATGGTTGTGATGATTGTGGGAATAGAGATACAGCTGTAATGGTTGTGGAAATAATAATACAGCTGCGATGGTTGTTGGGATAGGAATACAGCTGTGATGGTTGTGAGAATAGAAATACGGCTGTGATGGTTGTGGGAATAGAGATACGGCTGTGGTGGTTGTGGGAATAGAGATACTGCAGTGATGGTTGTGAGTCATGTTTGTGTTGTTGTCATGTTGCGTGTCTGGCTTTCGTCACTGTAGATTTACTAAAAGCATACATTGACTGTCGCTTTCAGTGTCCAACATATCTGGCAAAGATGTGATGAAGGAAGACGACCCATACATGCAGCCCCCACATCAGATGAGATCATGGAGTGAGCAGACTTCTGATGTATGTACCCAGTGTTTAATTAATTTTTATGTTCATGCATCCTTTTTTAGAGGATCATTGCTTTGTGAAGATTCTTCTCCCTTTTGCATTGGCATTGTGGAGCAGACATTTAAATCGGCTTCTGTTTGTATTGTTGTAGTTGTAGTCTCCTGTTTGTACTGATGTAGTTATAGCTCCTGTTTATATTGTTGTAGTTATAGCTCCTGTTTGTATTGTTGTAGTTGAAGCTTCTGTTTGTATTGTTGTAGCTGTAGGCTCCTGTTTTGTTTTTTAGCTATATCATGTTAATATATATTGTTAAAGTTTTGAGTTGTTTTTGAGTTTGTCAGCCTCTAACTCCAGAACACTAACAAGCATGCGAAGTTTACCACCATGTCTTGTCATTGATATGTGTGGTGAAAAAACATGCAACAGTAACACACTTCAGGGACAATTTGAAGTCTTTGGTCATTCAGAGACTTAGGAACCACCCTGGGACATTTGATTTTGAACTGTTGAGTGGTTTGAGCCCTTGTACCATGGGGGAGAGGGGAGTGGGGGTGTGTTTTCAATTATAGAGGAGATCTTGTTTTGGGTGTAAGATGATGCAATTTATTTGATGGTTACTGTTGCTAGATTGAACTAGGTTATAATGTTTGTTGACCAGTTACCTTTCTCACTACTGGTTTCTTCCTCGGTCAGATGTAAGTAAAACACCTATGATATCACCCTGTGGGTCCCAGGGCTCTGTCTGAGAGGGGTGTGGGAGAATAGAATTATTGTCAAGCTCTCTTCTTTGTTTTGGCCGCTGTAAAGTTTTGGTTGTTCATCCACATCTTTGATTTTGGTCTAGAATTTGAGTATTGTGTTCACATTCATTTTACAAATGTGTCTTATTTACCGTTGTTTCCTCAACTCTCCGGTAGATGTACTCTGGCTTTCAAGTAGGCTCCCATAATTAGTCACGTATTGGGTCTTACAACTTTTGTCAAATCAACTGTGTCCTGATTTATTGTCATCTTCTATATTGTCTGAATTTTATATTTTTTTCAGACAACATATGGAGCTCCACCGATGTCGACTGCTAGCGTGTCTGAATCGTTCTTTCAGAACTTTTATCCCCCAAACATGACCTACCCATTCATGAGCCAGACGCTTCCCGGCTCTGAAGGACCTTGGTCGAACGGCACAGACGCCATGTTTGGCATGGGTTATGACTACAGTAACATGTACAGTGGCTTTGGCTTCCCTCCTTTCAACAACTGGGACTACACCAACGACTACTGGACTCCCTCACAGGTGCGTAAGGACCAGAGGGGTTACACTACAGATGAGGGGTACTACCCACCTGAAATGATGCCCCAAGATGGATACAGCATGATGAATGGGGCGGCAGTGCCTCCGGAACCTCAAGAACCAATTGGGACGGTGGAGCAAGGTATTCGGGGAATGAGCATCGCATCTGCAAGTTCGACTGCTGATTCATCTAGCAGGAAGAAGGTGGTTGATGTGAGCCAGCCTCCCATAATGATTGACAGCTTTAGCGGTGGGGATAATTCCCGTATGATATCCCCTAACCACTCTCAGCCTGTGCAGTCTTCATCTTTGGCAATGTGCAGCGCCGGCCAGAACCACAGCGCGAGCCAGAGCCAGGCGAAGAAGACATCGTGGGCGGCCATTGCCAGCCAACCAGCCAGACCCCAACAGCAGTTTCGGCCCCGGACTATACCACGTGCTCCTGCCAACCCTAATAAACCCCATAACATGGATATAGGGACGTGGGACAACAGAGGTAATCCCGCTAAGGCGCCTCTACCGCCACCACAGCCTTCCTCCTCTCAACCGCCCCAGGTCCGCCAGAGCTGGGTTCCTAGTTCGACTCGTGGCAGTAATAATCGACCGATGCAGCCCTTCTCTACAACTGGGCCAGGAAATGAGACATCCTCTGATGATGTTGTGGATTTGAACTCTAACAACAGCAGCAGTACTGGTAATATCGTTGTCACTCAGAGTAACCTGGGCAGTAATTCGCCTTCTTATTCGGACTACAGTAACGTCGGTGGTAATACAGGTGCTAGAAGCAATGCTGAAGACGAGAGTCCAACAACGAATGGTGACACTCACCCACCCAGCGTTCCTGATTACTCTCATCCTGTCCTGGACCAACTGAAATCTTCCAACCTGTACAACCCCAAAGAATTCACCCTGAATCAGAAATCTGCCCGCTTTTTCATTATAAAATCATATTCAGAGGATGATATTCACAGATCCATCAAGTACAATATTTGGTGCAGTACGGAACATGGCAACAAAAGGCTAGATGCCGCATTCCGTGAGAGGGAGGGCAAGGGTCCTGTCTACCTCATCTACTCCGTCAACGGTAGTGGGCATTTCTGCGGCATCGCCCAGATGATGTCGCCGGTGGACTACAACAAAAGTGCAGGGGTGTGGGCTCAGGACAAGTGGAAAGGCCAGTTTGTGGTGAAGTGGGTGTATGTAAAGGATGTTCCAAACAGCCAGTTGAGACATATCCGTCTGGAGAACAATGAGAACAAGCCGGTAACCAACTCCCGTGATACCCAGGAAGTCCCGCCAGAGAAAGGCAAGCAGGTCTTGCGAATTGTGCACAGTTACAAGCACACCACGTCGATTTTTGACGACTTTGTCCACTACGAGAAGAAGCAGGAGCAAGATGCAAGTACTGTCCAGCAGCGGGACAGCCGCAATGACTCCAGAGGCGATCATCGCGGTGGAGACAGGGAAAACAGAGGGGGTGGGGACAGGGATCACCGAGGGGGTGATAGGGATCACAGAGGTGGAGATCGGGAACAGCGAGGCGGGGATAGAGAATACAGGGGCGGGGACAGAGATCAGAGAGGAGGGGATAGAGAATTTAGAGGCGGGGACAGAGATCAGAGAGTCGGGGACAGAGATCAGAGAGGAGGGGATAGAGAATTTAGAGGCGGGGACAGAGATCAGAGAGGTGGGGAACGAGAGCAGAGAGGCGGAGATAGAGACTTTAGAGGCGGAGATAGAGACTTTAGAGGCGGAGATAGAGACTTTAGAGGCGGAGATAGAGACTTCAGAGGCGGAGACAGGGATCGTGGTGATGGAACTGGAGGTCGAAATAGGGTAAGTAGGAGTCTCGACAATTTTTTGTCTTTGAAACTGTATTTGCAGTTATGTTGATGCTGTTGCCGACTAGCCATGACTGACTTTTGCAACAATTATTTCAGTTTATTTTGGGTTTTCCGCTGATCGTTTGTCCGATACTGTTACATCTTGAGGTTTTGTCTAATTTTTGCATTTTGGACACTGAAAATTTTCTTTACTTAAAAATCTGTGGCAGTAGTTTTGGCAGTTTTCCTGACACATGTGCACAACAGAATAGTGAATGCAGAAAAGACAAGGACATTGGTTTCTAGGTAGCTAAGACTTGCAGATACTTTTTTTTTTTGGGTAACAGTCTGCCACGGATTCCATATTTTCTTATATCAGACTGAAGAAAATATTGAAACATTAGAATTGAACAACAGTTGACTAACTGGGAACATCATTTAAAGTCGGGGTGCATCTGCCAGAGTGGCACAGGACAACTACAAATAGACCAGTAAATTGGATGTACACACAAAAACTCAAGCCCTGGCACAAAGCCAAAGTCCATCTGGACAAACATCGAGAACTTTCCACAGGAGCTTACATCGGTGAACAAAGAAGAAGGTTAGTTTCGTATCCTTTACAGGACGTTGCAGAACCAACCCCAACAGCCCCTGGCTGTTGTGTGGTTTTTCTAGGCAAATTTATGTCCAGTAGTTTGATATTGCTTTCTGGAGGATTGGCTTTCTTGATACCATTGCCGAAACCAACCCAAGGGGCATTGCTCGCAGCTGGGATCGACCCCGGCATTACGAAGCGTTCGCATCGACTTAGCCACAGAGCGGACCAAAGAAGAAGATTATCTCTTAAAAGGACGGTTGGCGTGTTTTGTAGTGGTTTTCAGCAAGTCTGGCATTATCGACACCTTACAACCGAGCACATTGTTTGGAGAGACCTTTCATGACATGCTTGTTACAGGGTGTGCCACAGCAACATTGCATGTGTTCCAGAATCATTTCAGACCAAAAGGCTGGTTGATCAAATGGTTAACCCTGTTGTCTCGAAAAGCCACTAGACTGGCATACCTGGCCACCATAAATGCTGCTTACCTGGCACTTCTGCTCTGGCATGTCCCTGAGAACCTAATGGCATTGGTTTCAGTTTACAAATGCGCATTGTGTCAGATGACCGGATGTGGTAAAATTTACTAAAAATACAGCATGGAAGGGGGTGGGGAGGTAATGTGAATGCCTTTTGTAATGCCTAGCTGTAAACCACAAACACAGCATGTCCTTCTGAGGGTGGCCAATGGAGTAGGCATTTAATAATAACCTTTACCGCCTTTACTTTCCAGAGCGTTTCCGGGCACCACTTTAGACTCAAGTAAAGCTAGAAGCCCTTTTGGTAAAAACAAAATTTGCAATGACAATTAGAACACTTTGTCCCAGCAGTGTGGTGGCTCTTGTATAAATCTAATTAGTGACCTTGTTCTTTTGCATAAGTGCATGAACATGTGAAAGCACATATAATATGCATAACCTCCTTCCTCTTCTCCCCCACCCACCCCCCAAGCTTGTGTAGACACGATGTCTTTTCCGAGGCCACCATTTGGGGAGGAAAAGGGGGTGGGGGTCCCAGTCCAGCAGACATGCCGTAAAAGGTGACAAATTAGGGGCATTTCGCGCAAAGTTTTACCGCGGTTTCGTCCGAGGTGAGGGACAGTTTGCATAAACATAAGCCAGTTCTGTAAAACGAGTGTGCACACAAAGCTAGTTCTGGAACAAGACTAAGGTCTTGAAATGGACTCTTTTCGATTTCTAACTGCCAAGGGATCTTTTTTAACATGTGCAGCAATACACGCAGGCATCCAGTCTTACTACCCAGAGACTAGGGAAAAATGTTGAAAATCCATGCAAAAAATTCCAGCATTCACTGAAACTGGGACCTCCATCACTCGAGGCAGACGCCATGCCTCGAGACCACTCAGCCCTTGAGACCACTTCTTCCTAGAAGTATTTGTTAGTTTGCTTTTTTGACTAAGCTCGGAGCTCGCTATTTGATTTCTAGGGCCATATGGAAATGTGACAGGGATACCGCTTCTCTTCTTCCACCTTTGAAGCTGGAGTCTGCATCAGCCCTAGAGGTGAGGAACCAATAGTCTGCATGCAAGATCTGTAAAATGGATATGCATGCAAAACTGAAGTTCTGAGACAGGACCAGAAGTGGGCGGACAACCCAGACTTTTCTGGTGAATGCTAGTAAAAGTTCTCAAAGTGCAAGTCACCTCACCAACCCCTGCCTGTGGAGCTACCAGGAAATCTCACCAACCCCTGCCTGTGGAGCTACCAGGAAACCCCACCAACCCCTGCCCGTAGAGCTACCAGGAAACCTCACCAACCCCTGCCTGTGGAGCTACCAGGAAACCTCACCAACCCCTGCCCGTAGAGCTACCAGGAAACCTCACCAACCCCTGCCTGTGGAGCTACCAGGAAAGGGCACCACCATTGACTGCTTTGATAGCTTCAGGCTTTGGTCTTCAGGTCTCCCAGAATAGAACTGGATACCACACCTCATCAAGCATTGATCCCTGTGCGGGTTCCAGGACCCCATTGTGGGGAAAACAAGAATGAACCCACAGCATGTTGGAAGAGTCAGCTAATTGGGGGCTTCCTTCGAAGTCGAAGTGCATCTGTCTCAGAGGCAAGGAACCAACAGTCTGCAAACAAGTAAGTCAGATGCATTAAACGGAAGTGCACGCAGCACTCAGGCTGAAAACATGACTAAAGACCAGAGATGGGTAAGCAACCACAGCTTTCCGCTGAAGTTTACAGCCTGTGAAGGAGGAGGAGACAATTGAAGCATCGACATGTCCCGTTACTTCACTTGCACTTTTTACATAGATGCAGATGATGCAGGAACATTAACCTTTGTTTCTTGTTTTATTTGGTTCCAGGATAATCGCCGGGGACAAGACAATGCTGGTGGGAGCAGCAGCAGTCGTGGCGGACGACAGAACTAATGTACACTCTGGCAGCTCCATGCCTCCTCCCTACCAGTACCGGCTCGGCATTTAGTGTCCTGGCGTACTGTCACTTCGTTTTGTCTTTATTACGACTGTATATCGGATATTGTGGTGATGTGTTTGACATTCTTACACTGGTAGAAGCGGGATCTCTACTGCACTTTTCACATTTTAACATTTTTTTTCCCCTCATTTATTTCCCTTGTTCTGGAGTACTTGTCCCAGCCCACATGTAGGCCAGCTAGTGCGAAGTTTCAGACAGTTATTATGTGCCCTTGTTCTTGAAGTGTTTACTTGTGAAACCATGTGTTAATTACTATGGTTTAGCAGTGCGTTTAATTATCCCAAGGAGGAAACGGTAGCTGTTTAAAAACCTTCAATATGGATGTGATCAGTTTCATAGAGGAATTAGCAGAAATTGTGACTATAGTTAAGCATTGTGTTCGGCTCAAATAACGATATTTGTATTGTACATTGTTGCAATCAACAGTTTATTCCCTCTTTCCCTTGTTATGTTTGTGAAAATACTGATGAAATTAGCTGGATCATTTCTGTAAACATAAACAGACAAAGGACTGCATTTTAAATGAACTTCACAAACTAGCATTCGATTCGTTTTTATATCAGCCAAACTTGAGAACATCATTCATTTTTGGTGATTAACCTCGCCAACTGTTGTTTTCCAGCCAATATTTGATTCCAAGAACAGTTTACTGTGAATTTGACACTAGAGTGCTATTAAAACTATTTTACTAAAAGCCGCACTGTTTTTAATCACTCACACTTGGAAATCAGCAAGTAGTGTTGGTTTCCATTTAGCTACCTAAATCATTTGGACAATCGATATAATGAAATAGCTGTATGATTTTATCCTTCCCCTCTTTCGTTATTGATTTCAGTGATCACTGCTGATTTAGCCAGGCATTAGGAAACTGTATGATTTGTTTATTCCACGTGTATTTACTACACTCGCCAAGAACTGCGACTTCATTTCAAGCTTTGGTGCCTCCAGTTCTCCAGTTCAGCAGAGTAATTCAAGGGACACATTTTTTTTCAAAAAAAATTTTTATGTTTGTAAAGTCACAACACAAAAGTCTTGCTCTCTCTAGCATAGGGCATTAGATCTGTACTGGATTTATTTCTATGCGATAGCCTTGGATTTTTTTTAGAATACTTAATATCTTAGACAAAATTTAAATTATCAGGGATAGAATTTGAGTTACAGTGGCATAGATCATCAGAGGTTACATTTATCACGAGAATAGTGCCTGTTGATATAACAAATGTGAAAGGGCAGGAGCTACACGCAGATCTTCCTGTTTATTTGTTTATGTATTTGTTCTTTGTTTTATTTTTCATGGAAAATGTTTGTAACAGTGTTTCAGGGCTGGTAGTTAGTATAGACATGACTAGCAGTGGTAGATTAGACAGCAAGGGCACAAGATAGCTGTAGACAGTAGAGGGTATCTTAGCAAGGACAGAGGTTAGCTCAGATAGCAAGGGCAGACGGTAGCTTAGACAGCAAGGACACAAGATAGCTGTAGACAGTAGAGGGTATCTTAGCTGCTGACGGTAGCTTAGACAGCAAGGACAGACCGTAGCTCAGACAGCAAGGGCAGACGGTAGCTCAGACAGCAAGGGCAGACGGTAGCTCA